TTACGATTGCTCCACGTTTCGGTCGTTGTATAACCCAAAACTTTCTGGTTCTACAAGTTTGAATTTTGAATGCTCAAATTCATATTTCTAAGAAATTTACTCTTTGTTTGTTTTTGTTGTTGTAGTTTTGCAAGAACATGAGTTTTGAATATAAAAAGTTTTGGCTTTGCTTGGAAATTTTATGTTTTAATTATATATATTATATATAATAATATGTTGTGTTATCACTAAATATCGGCTTTTCTTGAATATAAAGAACTTTCTGTATTCCACACACGTGTCAACTTTTTGAGAATAATCAACTTGTATTTCTACAAATTTCACTGTGTATTCCACTCACGTTCCGGTTTAGTGTAAGTGTCGACTTTTTGAGAATAATCAACTTGTATTTCTACAAGTTTCACTGTGTATTCCACTCACGTTCCGGTTTAGTGTAAGTGTCGACTTTTTGAGAATAATCAACTTGTATTTCTACAAAGTTTCACTGTGTATTCCACTCACGTTCCGGTTTAGTGTAAGTGTCGACTTTTTGAGAATAATTAACTCGTATTTCTACAAATTTCAGTTTCACCAACCTCCGTTAAAGTTTTAATTTGCTGAAAGGCATAATTAGATCCTGGCACATCTTTTTGGGTTTGGTGAAATATAGAACATCATACTTTCTTCAACTTTTACTTTGTTAAAATTTTGTGAATGTTTGTTTTTACAGCTTTTTATTTTGGTAAAAAAAAAACAGTTTCGCATTTTTCCTTTCAACTTCTAAGGTTTGACTGTAAATATAGTTTTATTTTTTTAAAATTACGACATTTTTTTAAACATAGTATTTCGAGTCTTCTACACGTTTCGAATTTGCTAGGACACAACCAGTATCCGTTTCTGTATTGAGTTCTTGTCTGATATCCCATTGCATTTTGTTCTTTGTCAGAGTTTAGATTTTATATGAAATGTAAAAACATATACCTTTGTAGAGTTTCATAAGAATGAATTTTACCGACACAACAATGATGGATGGAACCCGTATCGACCAACGTACGGCTATGGATGACATCGGCCTTTCACAATCTTTCTGAGCTGCTAGTTTGAAGCTAAAGCACGTTATTGATGCGAATCATTCTTGACTGCATCCAGCGTTAGCTAAACGTAATCCGTGTCTACTTGCTCTAAACTGTACGAAGCTATCTATTTATCTAATCATCAAGATGGCTGTTTGTTTATTGATATATCTGTAATTGTGTATTTTTCTGTGTTTGTCTATCTATTTATATTTAATTGTAAATATCTCTTGTTTGTCCATTTTTGTGTATTAATTTGTACTTATACGTTTATGAAATCATTTATCAATGTTTGCTTTGTCTATTAACTTGTAGATCTCTCTATCTATTCGTTGATATAATTATCATTAAGTATGGTTAAAGAAGAATTTACTGAAATCATAAATTCTCCTCATAGAAGATCTGGAACCGAACCTGTTCTACGATTCTATTGGTTCCTTCCTAAATAGAAATATGTCCTATCAGAAACTTTCCCATGGCTCATTACTCTCTCTCCTGCAGGAACTCGTTTTTGTAAAGTCACCCTTACTCTGTCGAAACTTCCATCATTTCTTTTAAACGTTTTAACTATTTTGTAAAGAGTTTGTGATACAATTCTTTCTGTGTATTTATAAGTGAAGGGTTTACTGGTTTTAAATGCTTTTTGTAGCAGAAGATAAATAATTCTGTGCATCCTGTGTACTGTACTTATTTAATGCGCAACTTTTACACTATGAGAGATTGCTAACCCCAATTTTCGAAAGTTATTACAAGATTTTTCTGAAACTCTTGTTAGTGATAACGATTTCTTTTTTCCTGTATAATTGAACATCAAACTGGAGTGCTGGCAAATGATCACTACCAACATTCTAATATAGCGTTGATAGAACTTGGTACACTTTTTTTATATATAGTTCTGCTACATGTTTACATGTGAAATTCACATCTGTTAAGTGTAAAGAATACGCTGTAATTTCCCAGGATTTGTCTGTAAATCTTCTACCATTTCAACCAGAAGTGTAAATTGTAAATATCTGTTAACTTTTTTCTCGTGCTTGTGCGTATTATCTTGATGTTCTTAAAGAGAATCTGAGGTTAACTTTAAAATTTTTCTGATGTCTGAATATCTTCGACTTTTAAAGTCTTTTTTCTTCTATCTTCGAGTTTTATAGCAAAAATACGGTTTACATACTCTGGATTCCTGTTTATGCGTGGTTTAAAATTACAGAGCATTGTTTTCTTTGCTTAAACATTTATCTAAGTTTTATCACTAATGAAATTGAAAATAGTTAATTGTTCAGTGTATTGTGTCAAGGTATACATATATATGAAGATATCAAATGTATATTAACAGTATATACTTACAATGCAAGTGTATGAGTATTCTTATACATTTATAAATTGTATATTCATAATTCGTCTGTTTGTAGTTTAGTTCAGTGTTTACCATATATTTATCTTTACCTCTCATATATTCATTTATCTTTGGGGTTAATTAGTTAACAGAGCTGTTATTTGTTTAGTTGTAATGTTAAACGCCCAAATCTATCTGTGTATGTGTATAACATCAATTGTTTGGATGTTTACCTACTTGTAAATCTAATTTAATAATCTGTTGATCAATCTAACTAGATATTATTACCTGCCACTTAAAGCAAGCTACCTACATAGATCACAACTAAAAATAAACCCAATAAAGAATATAACTCATTTAATATACCGCTCTTTCTTATAATGATTAAAATGTTGATTTTTCAGTGGATACTCCTCACTTTTAGCGATATTTTCGGCCATAATCTTAATAATATCTCACAAAGTGCAGCGAGCTCAAGCGATTTATAATAGTCTCAAACCCACATGCTAAGGTAGCAAAACAAAATAATCCTTATAATAAATATACAAACATCAAAGAATTTAATAAAAACTTAATAATAATAATATATAGCCAATAATGATAATGAAACCAGATTAAAAAAAAGAATATAATATAACTTATATTAGCATTTTCTAACTATTTATATATTTGTCTGTCCATAAACTTGTTAATCTGTGATGTTCATTTATTCATCAATATTTCACATATTTATCTATCTATCCCTCTTGCTGTCTGTCGCACTGTCTATTTGTCTGTTCTTTCTGTATCTGTGATTTTTCAAGTTTTATATCTACAAAAGGAGTGTCTTTTTTATCTAATCTATTTCAATGGTTACAAGTCTTTCTTTCTTACGTTTAGTTTTATTGTGTTTTAACACGTAACATTCCAACTGCATATATTGTTTAATGATCCCACATTCGACCTTTGTATAATAGAAGAAATCATATTTGGATAATTTCCTATTCATGTAAAACCAAAGTGTTTCTTACTTAGAGAAATGCGAATCGAATACAACATATATTTTAAATAAATAGCTTTGCATCCAAGTAAACGCTAGTAATAGTACTTTTTTCCTTAGAAAGCTGCTGCAGTAAAGTTTGATGTTCACAAAACATTATTATATTGTGCAATAAGACAATGGACCTGTAAATATCAAAGAACGTTTTCTGCAGAAGCAGCTTAGCAAGTTACGTTGCACCTGAAAAACAGAAAATACGATTTATATGAACACAAAGTCCCCTTTTGGACAATAACCATTTATCGATGCAAGGGTTGACTATAACAGAAAATCTATATACATCGCAATAAAGATTGCCTCTTATATAGATATAGAACACGTTGGTAGAATAACGAATTATGTCATTATAAAGACGAGCTTTGGTTAGAACGATCTATATAGACATAAAACAGCTTAACTTGAATAACAATTTATATCAACGTAAAAATCGGTTGTGCTTAGAGCGACTTGCAAAAATGTACAACGGCTTATGTAGAATAACGATTTCTATCAATATGAAGACTGATTTCACTCAGAAAGGTTTATATAGGCATAAAACTTCCATAACGTAAAGACCGCTTTAAACACGAATTGTTTTATATAGACATAAAACAACCTATACATAGCAGAAAAGCGACTTATACCGGCTTAAACATCGCTCTCATCAAGAACACTTTATATAAAAACAAACCATCTACCTAAAGTAAAATAGTCTTTTATAGATAAAAGATCGCTTTAAACAGAAATATTTAACAGAAAAAATCCTTTTTCAGCTGACGCCATTTCCAAATTAAGACTTCATTTCCGAAAAACAGTTTCAATAAGGTGTATCTTTAATATGGATGCTTATATGGAAAATACTAATATCCGACATCTTCGTGGTTTACTGAAAAATATTGTAATGTCTGAGCAAATCATTTAAAACATCACTCAAATAAGTGTGACTTTAACATGTGCATCTGCACAGTCTTCAGAAGACAAGTATTTATTGACCTTTGTCCAGACTAACGTTATACACACTGACTGACTGAGTTATTCGGAATTACATCTTTGCATTAATCTCATAATAGTTAAGATAAACTAACTATGATTTAATGAAAGTTTACTCGTAAAACGTACAGCGTTGAACAATATGAAATACAAAGATAATACTTTGTTTTAACACCAACGGTAACGTTCTCCGAGCCAGGACAAAGTTGTGACTAATTAAAAGTAAATCAATATCAGTTATTACATCGGAGATTTGATCTACACGACAATCTACATGAAACAGTACACGCTTGGTCTAAAATAAGTACAAACATATGTACAATAGTCTCCGAAATTACACAAATTATCTTATCTGTTAAACACACAATAACCACGTGGGAAGATTCCTATATCTCAGTCGCATAGCGCATTAATTAACTAAAAGTACTTAAATCACAATTTAACAATAAGATTTAATCGTCCTGCTCTTCCAATTTCAATTAACTAATGTTTTTAGTTGTTGTTTTTTTTTTTTTGGTTTTGGTTTTTTTCGTTTTTCTTCGTCTGTCCTGTGCGGATGAACTTTCCCCATTGCTGTCCAAAATCAAGTGAGACTTAGCATCCAGCATCCTAGAGCAGATTATTTTAATTGCTCATTATGTACACCGAGATCAGTCACAAATAAAACACAGAAATCACAACGTTTGTGTTCAATTCACTTCGTCTAACCTGTTAAGTTTTTCTTTTTTCTTTCTTTTTTTTTCTATTTTATTGTTCGGTCGGTCTTTGGGAAAATGTTATTGCACTTTGTCACGCAAAAAATTTCAACCTATTTATCTAGAGCAAAGTTTCTAAACGGCCAAGAAACTATCTGGTGACTCGGGATCAAGAGGAATTGAGTCTGACTGTTCGTCGTCGGACTTCAGCCGCTTGCAGTCGGCGCCATCCAAATCAAGCTCCTGATCAGAGCTGTCATCCTGACGTAGCTGTTCCGCCTCCGTGTCGTGCTTCTTCTTAGCCGTGGCCATCTCTGCTGCATGTTTCTTACGCCACTTGGTTCTTCGGTTTTGGAACCAAACCTATGAATAGTTACATAAAAATGAGCCACAAGAAATCTCATTAGCAATTGTTTTACATGCAATATATAAACTGGAGAAAATGGTGTTTAACTAAAGTGCAGTCAAAGTCACCAGCTTGATATTGACAACAATATTCCGTGACTTGTCTAGTAAAAATCGTATGTATATAAAGGGTGTACGAAAAGTCTGAAACCACAGAAGAATTAAAGTGTTTCTTAATTTCAGATATGGGACTGATTATACCGCAGTCAAAGCATAAGAAGATCGAGTTAATCTTGCTGTTAATTCAAACTTGTTTCGAATTGCAAGGACAGCAGGTGGAACGCATTCTGTAAAATTCATTGAAGTCTCTAGGGTTACAAACTTTTCGAACACCCTGTATTATAAAATGATTTGTATACCTTTCGTCACGTAGAAAACAGAATGTTTTCTCTATCTTTAATTTGCCTATATATACTGAACAAGGTACTTGGCTTCATAATAAATACATAAAGTGTTAAAGAGCAATAGAAAGAAAATAAAACTTATATGTTTCTATGTCACTTCAGGAATGATGTTTTACCTTTACTTGACTTTCTGACATTCCTAAGGCGTAAGCAAGCTTTGCTCTTTCCGGTCCGGCAAGATACTTAGTTTGTTCAAATGTCTTTTCAAGTACGTAAATCTGATGACCAGAAAAGGTGGGCCTGGTGTGTTTCTTTTTCTTCCCATCCTTGTCTAGACAACTTTGCGTAACTGTTAAAGACATGGGAAAGTAAATCAATAGTTCGCAAAAAACAGACATGTAATGCAAAGGAGATGTTAAACATTTACTGGCACGAACAATTATTAATTTCGATATTCGAAGTAAAATTCTTTTGAGATATAATTCATCTCACAATAACAAACGACACTATTGTTCAGTTTTCTCTATGCTTAATACGTCGAAACTACGAAACATATCATCTTTGACAGGTTGTTGAGGCAGAGTATTCATAATGAATCAAAGTTTCAAATGGACAGCAACTGCCTGTTGTAGAAACCTACAAATGTAGCGGACGACGTTTCGAAAAAGGCTTCCGCCTGAAGACGAAAGGCGGAAGACTTTCGAAACGTCGTCCTCTACATTTGTAGGTTTCTACAACAGGCAGTTGCTGTCCATTTGAAACTTAGATTCGAAACATATCATGATTTGACATCAAAACTCAACTGTTCACGTTCCCCAGATGAACTCCTCAAATCAATCTTTAGTAAAAGTTACATATAAGCTATTTTCCGTTACAATAAAATGTATTTAGGACTGAAAGATTGTATTAAGTTTTAATATCGTATACAATTAGTTCAGTAAAATCTGGAAAACTACACGTTTATACTAACTATGTTAATGGCAGAAGTTTCCAGATTCTTACAAATATATATTTTGAAATTTAAAATTGTTCTGCCATTTCAGTGTATCATATATGGTAGGTTAGCTAATTCATAAGTTGTTTAAATGATTTTTAGAATCTTAGTTACAGAGCTGAGTTGAAATACGTTTTCTACGTGAATGTAATACAGATATTTATTGATATACTTGATACGCGTGAATCGTGACGTTATAAAATAACACAAAAATTATTATTTCATAGGCCATGCCATATAGCTCTTAAAGTAGTGACGTTAGGAAGAATACAGAGTAGCAGAAATAAATACAAGAAATACTTGGAGGTTCTAAAGATATGTAACTAAACATCAGGTAAGAAATATACGAAATAATAAAAAGTTTTTGTGGTTCTATCTAACTGTGAATAGCGGTTCCGATAACTTGAAAACACTCTTTACGGGAGGCTTTAATAGTGTTACACAAAAACGCCTGATAACACTTTTTGTGAGATAAATGTTCAATGATATTAAACTGTTATGTCACTAGGTATACGAATAATGTTTGAAGATATTTTGTGATAAGCAAATGTCAATAAGTAATTCAGTTCGTAAGATAAAACATTCACCAATACACTAATTAATTATGTATTCCTAAAACGACAGCAAAATCCTATTTTGTATACCCTTCAACAAAGCTGTAAAGGAAAATGTGAGAATAAGGCTTATATTACATATTAGTAAATAACATTTTACCATAATATTTAAATTAAGGGTTAACCTGTGATGCCTGGCATCCATTCCATTCTCATCACTTCAAACCGAAGTAAGCACAGACTCTGATTTGCCGTATAGGGTTTGGTTTGGGGTATATTTAACCTTATAGCTTTAAAGATCGAACACGTAAGAAAGTATATACATGTGTGTGTTTGTGTGCCCAACAGCACTATGCAGAGACTTACTAAATCTTTATATAGGTTAATTTTCAGTTTTCCTAAAATCGGATGGAAATACTAAGGTATATTTTCTAATGTTTTATTTTACATATATTCTTACAGACTTCAAAGGCATGAAGTTCTACTGCATCATTGTAAGAATTTTTAATTTGGATTCTGTTATCGCAAGTAGTATAAATCAAGAGGTTAAAATTAGTTCGATCTTAGTGGAAACATTAAAATTAGCGTAAAAACATTTAGTTCGACTGTGCACTGTGCAGCTTTGTGATGTACATAGACACATGTACATATATATACATCCGTACGTGTTCGATATTTAAAGATGTAGGGTTAAATATATCACATACTTTATACGTCAAATCGGAGTCCGTGTTTACTCCAGTGTCAGTGGATGAGAATAGTGACACATATTCCACTGGACGAGAAGTCAGTCCAATGCAGGTTAACCCTCAAGGCACAAGCGGGTGAGAATAGTGACACATATTCCGCTGGACGAGAAGTCAGTCCAGTGCAGGTTAACCCTCAATTCAAAATGATGGCAATATATTATTTACTAATATATGTAACTTGCGTCTTATTCACACATTTTCTTTTACAACTTTTTGAAGTCTATAAGATATGGTTCTATTATTATTTTCAACGTCAGTTTTGTAATTATTTTATTCTAACGATTTACGGTTTATACATTATATACTTGCAATAACATAGCTCTAATTATCCATAGTTTAAATTGTATCGAATTGTAATAACATAATTCTGTTGATCCATAATTTAGACTGTATCCATTTGTTGCTTGTGTGGTTCATAGTTTAAACTGTATTTATTTGTAGTTCGTGTAGTTATACCAAATCATAGTTTAGACTGTATTTATTTGTTGATTGTGTAGTTCTACTAAATCATAGTTTAGACTGTATCTATTTATGTCTGCGGACTTACAACTCTAGAAACCGGGTTTCGATACCTGTGGTGGGCAGAGCACAGATAGCCCATTGTGTAGCTTTGTGCTTAATTGCAAACAAACAAACTGTATCTATTTATTATTCGTGTGGTTCCACTGAATCATAGCTTAAATCGTATCTATTTGTTGTGTGTGGTTCTACTAAATCGTACTTTAAACTGTATTTAGTTGTTGGTTGTGTGGTTCTACAAAATCATAGTTTAGACTGTATTTACTTGTTGCTTGTGTGGTTCTACAAAATCGTAGTTTAGACTGTATTTAGTTGTTGCTTGTGTGGTTCTACAAAATCATAGTTTAGACTGTATTTACTTGTTGCTTGTGTGGTTTCTACAAAATCATAGCTTATACTGCATCTTTGTACAGTTTGTTTTATTATACTGATAGTTAATTTATTTATTTTATATTTATTGCTCATGTTCCACCAAATCATAGTTTGTACAGTATGTGTTTTCTGTTTGTATAGTTCTGCTGATTCACACTGTATCTATAATTTTTGCTGTTTGTATGGTTCTACTGGTTTAAATATATTATTTTTAGTTTGTGTAATTCAATTGATTAATTAGAATGATCTACTTCATAACTTACATCGCTTCTATTGAAAGTTAATTTAATTCAGACTGTATATTTTTAATTGTGTAAAGTAAATTAAATTATCTTTAACTTGAACTGATCTATTTGTAAATAACTTGATCCATTCGATCCGTGATCCAAAGTTTATATGATCTAAATTCGGTATTTTAGATAATACCTGTTTCAAGTCCACGTTACTCAAAAATTATCCGTTCTAATATAAGTTAATGGCTGAGAAACGATTGGTAGACAATATTTAAATTTCTGTCAGCATACTCGTAATGTAAATATACTTTGTCTAGTTTCTAACATTGAATGGAATTATGGTTACATTAGCCTGTTACAGCTTTACTAAATACATTTCATATATCCATAAAGTGCTTGACTTTAATAAGTTATAGAACTGTTTTTGCGTAATAATAAAGTAAACTGATTTCTTATAATTCAAGCAATGTGTGAATCAAGTAGTTTTAGTGTTAATTTCCTATTCAAGAAATGTGGGTATGGCTTTGAAGTTAGAAAAACTTTGTTGTGGTCATATGAGTTTTGATTTATCGTCTGGTTTCGATTGGTCACATAACCAGATTAAGTTCCTATATTGTTTACTATCAGGAAATGTGTGAAATTAGATGTTACACACAAAATAACAAAATACGGTACCTCATTTTAAATAAAGCATAAACTAACAAGAATATACTAAGTAAACAGAGAAGCAGTGTAAGATTAAAACAAGAATAAATTCACAATACTTGAAGTTACACACTTTTAATGACATTTGAGACTTATATCTGAAGGAAAAGGATACATAGCTTAAGATGTGAAAAAGGCTGAATAGTAAAAGAATACATAGCATAAGATGTGAAAAAGGCTGAACAGTAAAAGGATACATAGCTTAAGATGTGAAAAAGCTGAACAGCTTACCCGCAGCTGAAGCGAACCGATCCCTCCAGAGTGCTGGGTTCTGTACCATCCCTGGCCAGTAGAGGTGAGGTCTAGCGGGGAGATCCCCCAGTCCTAGCTTGTGAAGACTACCGTTGGCTGGGTTAAAGTACATGCTAGCCGCTGCCCCCATGCCTAGGCTAAAGCGTGGTAATGCCCCAAGTGTGCTGAGCGCCTGTGCCGAGGTGGGCAGTGGCCGGCCAAGAATATCGTTAATGCCATGTGGTGTGCCATGAGCCGACGGTTTGAGGGTTTGGGTACTAGGATAGGGCGACATGGGATTCGCCTTTATGTCACTGATATTGTGCAGAGCGGCCAGCGGAGGATTGCCCAGGAAAAAAGCGTTCTGCCGCGAGGCCTCCATGTTCATGTTCAACATGGACAACATGGAACTTGCACTAGCTGTGGTGGTGGACGGGGTGTTGAACTCCAACATAGCCCGCTACCGTGCTAGGAACCGTCGTTTCTACCGATGATCTTTGTTCGTTATCGCTAAACCTCGAGAAGAAGATCTCGTCTCGCCGATCCAAACTGGTTACTCACTACAACACGTTGACTTGAACAGTAAAAACAGATATTCTACGTTCTTCTCCAGGCCATCAAGAGCTACAATAATACAAGCTTGACCCAAATGATGTCAGCTACAGTTTAGTGAGGAAAACGATTGAGCGTGGTGTGAAATACCGCTAACCATGAACGCGGGAGGCGTGTAAATGCAACACTGTGTCGGAAAAAGGCGGGGCAAAGGGCATCCTGGTGCTATGCTGCTGATTGGCTGGAAGCCAACCTAACCAATGTGAACTTCATAGGCAGAGAATGAGCAAGCTTATGGGGAAACAAGAAATAGCTGAGTGTCCAGAGAAATAGTTTTGCTACTCTTTATCTACTAATGTTAAGTTTTAGACTCCTAGATCAACGGTCTTAATGAACCACAGTGTGGTGCGTAATATTAGGCCACGTGTTTACCACGTGATAGAAAGTAAATTTGAAAAATAGCGAACGATAAACAAGATAATAATAATAATTATAATAAAAGTAATGAATTCCATCCCTGCCTCCAGGAAACAACGTAAAATGGGAAGCTTGCTTTAAACGATAACTTAAATCACAGGTGGTCATCTTTGTCTTAAATATTCTGAACAAAGAATGGTAAGTGTGACCAATAATATTACATAGTTTAAGATTACAAGGAGGCTGAGAGCAAATAATTATGTAATATACTAGAACATAGTAACGAGAAAGGTAAGTGTAAGCAATAACGTTTGATTAAGAATGCTTTTAAAAATATCAAAGTAAATATTTGTGTTTGAAAGAGGGTGACTTAAGAGTGAAACAATAAGGTTAATTTACAGATGAGGTGAAAGTAAAATAATAATATCTAGTTCAAGGTAAGATGAGAGTAAACAATTTGTTGTTTAGTGAGGTAAATCAATAAAACATAAATTTTAGTTGAGAATAAAGAAACTATAACAATACATATTTAATTGTGAATGAAGTTGCAGTAACACAGTAATTTCTACCTGAAGATGAAGTACAAGCGAAAAATCACTGATTAGACAGCTGTTGGGTAAGAGCGAAACATTATTTTGTTCCGTACGAGGTGAGTGCAAATTATCAATGTTTATATGAACAGGAGGCAAGAGTGTTATAGTATTGTTACTCCAGTGTATGACCATGGTAAAATCATTAGGTTTATTTGAATAATATCATATAAATATTATTTTGAATGATGTGATAGTAAAACAATGTTTAGTGAATACTAAAGTAATGGTACAACTGACTGTCAAGAATGAGGTTGGCTGAATGTTTTTTAATGCGAGGTGGCTATATTTATGAGCCTAGGGTAAAAATAATGTTTAGTTTGGCTAAGGCTAGAATAAAAAAGTGTTTAGTGCAGGTAAGGCTAAGATGCTAAAATAATGTTTTAGTTTATTTGTAGCCAAGGTAAAAATGTTTAGGTAAGGCTAACGTAAAAATAATGTTTAGTTTATGCGAAGCTAAGGTAAAAATCATTGTTTAGTGTAGATGAGACGATTGTAAAAATTATGTTAAGTTTAAATGTGGTTAGGATAAAATATATAGTTGAAGAATAAGTAAGAATTACTTAGTGAAAAGTAAATTAAAAGTTAAAGAACAATGTTTAGTAGATGGAGTGTTGAGAGTAGAAATATAACATTTAGTTGCTGTAAGGTCAGATTAAAAATAATATTAGTTGAGCAAGAGATTGAGCTAAATATTATGGTTGGTTGACATTGGAGTGAAAATAAAATAAAAATTCTTAGTCAAAACGTTATACATATATATGTACACAAAGTAAATACTGACAAAAAGAACATAAGGTGAGAATAAAACAAAATGACAAAAAGAACATAAGGTGAGAATAAAACAAAATGTTTTGTTATGAATGAGATAAAACTTAATAATGATATATGCTGGAGGGTTGGAATGATTATGAAACAATAATATGTTGCTGAAGGTGAAGTGGCAGTAAAACAATAAGTCTTCATAGAAAGTGAAGAGAAAATAGAACTATGAACAATCAAAACATTTTTAGAAATATAGTAAATATTGATAGTAGAAAGTGAGATTAAAGTAAAACTAGGTTTAATTGAGTTGATTTAATTAGGTTTAATTAATTTTTACTGAAAGATAAGATTAATGCGAAACAATGATATTTAGTTTATTAAGAAGCGAGGGTGAAACATTGATTATGATATTTTGATCAGATTATTGTAAAAATAATGTACAATTAATAGGATAACAGAATTTATATATATATATATATATATTAATGAACAAAGCAGGCCCAAACAAAAAGCGAAGACGCTCCATAAATTAAAAGGATCCCCAGGGTACAGGCTATAACGTAGGATATAAGATGTGCCTTGGGTTTTGGAGGTGACTGCAGAAGTAGATCTCACAATTCGGTGGGGATACACCATCTACCAGTCTTAACCTTCGTTCGCCAGTCTCACATATTGAAGAAAATAGAATAATAGTAATCAGAATAATACAAAAGTTAGTTGTACAGTAGACATATTATACTAGTATTAAAGCCTAATCAAGTTATCTAAACTAGTATAACTCCTGATCATCACCATGAAGTTTACTCGTAGAGACAATTGTAACTACCAATTTTCATACTTTACCTGAGCCTTTATTTGCAATAATGTGTTAATCCGCATAAAAATAGTGCCAAGTTGTTTAAACGTTCTTATTAAAAACTGAAAATACTTTTCGAAAACTTCAAGCAAAAACGTCTTAATTTTTACTTCTTTATATTTATTTAACACATTTTCATATTTATCATAAATATTTTAATAATTTTATTTAATATTTGTTTATTAAATCCATTAAACTACCAATTTTGCATCAATATTTCAACATTAATAATGAAATATTGTAATTTTTATACAAATGTTACAAAATCAGAGTAATTGTGAAGTTATAATACTTATAACAGAAGAGTATGGGATATTACTATTAAAAAAGGGTAAACTGTATATTGGAAAAAAAAATTTTCTTTGATAAAAAACATTCAGATTGATATCGTTATCAATTATTTTAATTTCTATATCTAAATAATGTCGCTCTACATCCGAGATTGAAGTATTTCAATTTCTAATTCTACCGGATAAATAGTATCAATAAATTTATTTATCTCAGGATAATTAAATCATCTATATATATTTATAAGTTAAATCAAAAATTTTCGGATTTATGAAATTTTGAATAAACCTATTCTCATAGAAATATAGATATAAATTTGCTGTACAAATAAAATAGTTACCTCCCATTGGAACTCCTAGTACTTGTTTAAACACCTGGTTATTAAAAGACAAGAGATAATTATTGAAAATACAAAACTTACCATATATATTTTACATTTTTGGAAGTAAATTTTCTTTCTTCCAGTACTATGAAAATATGACAGTATTGTTCTATTAATGAATTCATAACAGAAATTAAATGTTTCAATGGAATTGTGGTATACAAGTCGATAAAATAATATGTTTGAATATTATTTACTTGTTCACAATTATTTACGTCTTCTAAAACAGGTTGATTATTTTCTATTATCCAAAAGGTGTGTTTCTTATCATTACTTATCTTTGATTTTATCAAATAAAATGTTAAGTAACTTATTTAATAAAATGGCCGGTTGCTTAATAGTTGTTTTCACTGAACTAGAAATAAATCGGAATTTAATCGGAGATTTCTGCTGTTTAGGAATATAGAAATAGTACTAATTATCTATACACACTTATATCTGATTTATTGTAAGAATAGATCACTTCTTAATAAGAAGCGATTTCAATAAAGGTGAGAATGAACAACTTTTGAAACAGAATAAGATGAAAATAGAACGATTATATTTATTTGTTATTTAACTGTGATGTGACATTAAGGAAGTAGTATTTAACTGAGTGTAAAAAAATAATGTTTTGTTTAGAGTGAGGCGAATAAGATTACAGCGCTTTGTCAAGAAACGATTTAGAATGGTGAGATGAATATTGATGTTTATTAGAGGAGTCTATAAGACAGGAACGCTAATGTTTAGTTGGAGATAAGATAACACCCCAACAATAATATTTATATACATGTGGGTAACATGAAACTTAACAATAAAATCTACTTAGCGAAACGTTCACAGTAACATAATATTAACGTGAGAGTTCAGGTTAGGGAGAAAATATATAAAACAAGAATGCTTACTCAAAATGACTTTTAATTAAGTGAATGTTGTTTGTTTGTCTTAGCGCAAAGCTACAAAATGGGATCTTTACGCTATCTCTACCACTGGGAATCGAGCCCCGAATTTTAGCGTTGTAAGTCCGTGTACTTACCGCCGACCCACTGGGGAACAAATAAGTGAGAGTAAAGAATAATTCTTATATAAGGGTGAGGTGAGAGTATGACAGTACTTAACAAGCAATAACTTCTATAAAAGATGCAACGAGGTGAGAGTATGACAGTACCTAAGAAACAATAACTTCTGTAAAAGACGCAATGAGGTGAGAACATGACAGTACTTAACAAACAATAACTTATATAAAAGATGCAGTGAGATGTGAGTATGACAGTACTTAACAAACACTAACTTATATAAAAGATGCAGTGAGGTGAGAGTATGACAGTACTTAACAAACAATAACTTCTATAAAAGACGCAGTGAGATGAGAGTATGACAGTACTTAACAAACAATAACTTCTATAAAAGACGCAGTGAGATGAGAGTATGACAGTACTTAACAAACAATAACTTCTATAAAAGAGCAGTGAGGTGAGAGTATGACAGTACTTAACAAACACTAACTTATATAAAAGATGCAGTGAGGTGAGAGTATGACAGTACTTAACAAACAATAACTTCTATAATAAATGCAATAACCAATGTTTAATAAAGCGTGAGATAGGGAAATAATTATGCGTTTCTTTTTTACTTAAAACAATTTAAATTTAAGGATGTAATCGGAATAAAATTACGCTTGTTATATAGTCATTTCTTGAAAGGACTTAGTATGAAGACTTACTTTTAGTTCAGAGTGAAGTGATAATGAAATGATATTTTGATAAAGTGTAATTTCTAAAACTAAGAGAGAATATAATAATATTTCGTAGAAGCTTAGATTCTAGAATAAAGCTAGTGAACAATGGGATACATGGGTAATGGATTATT